TGGAGTAGCATCAGTATTGGTAGTTACTTGAGTCTCACTACTACTATCTTGTAATTGTCCAGATCCTGTATTTATTATAATAGTCAATGTATATATGTTATATTATATCATTACTTGAAGATCTTGAAGTACTTGCTTCTTGACAAGATGGCATCACTGTTACTGCTGAGGGAAATGACTTTCCTATTGTATTAGAATATAAATACGTTAAGTGTATTTATAAAACTGTTCATTTACCATATTCCATTATTATATCACTAGCTAAAGACACTGCTTCCTTTGATTTCATTAGAATGCTTGTCAGAGTACATAACTTGCTATGATCTTCAGCTACACCACTTAATATTAGTAACATTGGATCTCCTACCAATGAACAACCGCAACTCTTCACTTCTGTTAATGTATCCTTAGATATCAATCCCTCTGTATGTAAGAGATCAACTGATTCCTCAGTAAGAACAACTTGAGCTAGTCTACCAATATAACACTGTAATATCTCACTAACAGGATCTGCCACTAAATAAAAATATAAACAAAGTATAACAATAATAAAATTATTACTTGTTTTGTGAATATCAGTAGAAATGGATATTGCGTTCATTCCACGGAGTGCATTAGCCAGTGTCTTCCAGATAATAGGACCAACAGTGGTGACATTATCCTCAGCTTTAGTCAACCACTTGGTTAAACACTCCATCAGGCAGCGTGAAGGATTCCCTCTATGAGCTGACTCAATAGCTTCCAGTGTAGGATGAATCAGACCAAGATTCAATCCAAATTCAAACCATCTTGCTTCAGGAAACTTGTAATGCCTCAAGACTTGTAAAACAAAGTTTAACTTGCTAATATCTGTACACAAAATATGTATATCAGTGTATTATAAATAATCTGACTGACCTAATGGGAAATGTGATGGTTTTGAAGCCATTTGAAACTAGTTTAAGTATTGTATACAAGGTAAAAGGAGAGGTAAAGGCAAGACGAGGCGTAAAAACAGAGCACAGCAAATTCCAAACAACAGGGCGGGGCTGGTTAAACCACGCCCATAGCCACACCTCAAAGAATGGAGGATATGACAGTACTAAATGGTGTGATTGACTTGAATCTTCCTCTTCTGAGGGAAGAAGTTCATCAGATCATTCCTCTCCTCCCTCTGCTATTCTTAGGTTGACGTATCTGTGTACGGAAGTACAGAAGTAAGCCTATTAAATCAATCGTGATTCATTCCACGTGATAACACGAGTTTACAGTATACGAAAGTAAATCTAGGTATACGGAGCTAGACGGGGAACAAGGCAATCAAATAAAGAGTCTTCAGAAGATTTGAACGTTAGGAAGAGTTCTTCTTCATCATCAGTGGATCAAGATGAAAGAAAGTTACTTGCTGGCTCGTACTGGCTAGTTAGAATATTGTTCATTAGATCATTTTCAGCTATTTACTGTAAGTATAGTCATCTGGTGGTTGTGAGGTTGAGGGTGGTTGGACAAGTTTCATTTACATGTAATTAAGTTAAGACTATTAGATGTACTGTAGTGTAGTTGACTAGTTCAGTGTTCAAATTATCATTGAACTTTTACCACAATTGATCATATCAATGTCCCCATTTACAGCTTCTTAATAAGTAATATACTA